GAGAGAGAGAGAGAGAGAGGAGAGAGATGAGCGATACAAGTTTGGTTTTCACTTACCTGTGAAGTGTGCCATGCAGTCCCATGAAGTGGGTCTATGGGTAGGTCTTGCTGAGAGGCGGCCAGAGCCGCAGAGCTCGACCACAGAGAAATAAAGGAGGGTGAAAGAGAAGACAGAGGAGGAGACCAAGGAGGGTGCGGAAAGCCATAGCCGAGGAGGAGTAAGGGAGAGACGATCAAAAAAAAAAAAAAAAAAAAAAAACAGAAAGAGGACAACCGGGGTGAAGAGAAAGGAGGTGAGGTAGGGAGAAAGGAAGGAGAAGGGTGGTGACGAAGGTGAAGCCAGCCGCCATAGCCGGAGTTGACCGGAAGAGTTGACCGTGTGTTGACCGGGTGTGACCGGGAGTTGACCAGAGTTGATCGGGGGTTGATTGCACCAAGGCATTGACCAAGGTCGTTGACCACGAATTGACCAAGTTGGAGCCGGTATAATCTCGCCAAGCCTTCAACCTATCCCCTCGCCCTATGGATGTGCATACACCCTGTGGTACTTGCTGAGTCAAGTCTGTTTGTCTTTTCTTTCTGCATTGAGTCTCTTCTGTCCAGATGTTAGGAACTCTGTGGATGAAGGATAGGGCCTTGTTGACAAAACCCACACGGGCTGAGTAGGGCTAAAGGCTGTGTCTGACGACTCGAATCTCCCAGAGGACACGAACCCTCCCAAGGACCGGTACTGACCGACGGGCTGCTCGATGTGGCACGGTAGGCCCAAAATCCGAGTTGTGGGCTGCACAACATGCCGTCTAAGTCTTGAGAAGACCTGCTGATCGTGTCGTCCTGTCTGCGACGTTAAATAATTCTTGAGGAATTACGGGGGATCTCCTTAAATGCCTCCTGATTAGCAACAGGTCTTGTAGTGACAGCCTTAGAGTAGGTCTAGGCTAGAGACCCTAGTTGACAGGATCCTGTCCGGATTTTGTAAGTCCTTAGACTGAGTCAATAGGTGTGTCAGTCAGGGGGAGTAGAGTCTAAGTGGTGAGGAGTGGAACTGTTGTCTGGTTGTGCACTAATCACCATGGTTGACACCCGTAGTCCGAAGAGTACTGCCCCTCCGAGGCTGAGCAGGCCCGGATTGCCGCCCTTCTGAGAGAGAAAAAGGAGAAGAAAAAGCTCCTTAAGCATGCAAAGTTAAAGGCCATTGCAGAGGAGCAGGCGGTGAAGAAGAAGAGATTGGAGGAGGAGATGCTGAGATTTCAAAAGGAGAAGATGCTGCAAATAAAGCTAGAGGAAGAGGAAAGAAGAAGGGCTGCAGAGGAAGAAGCAGCGGCAGAGGAGGAGGAAGAAGAAGAAGAAGAGCCCCTTGAAAGAAGACGTGGAGAAGAGAGAGGGGAAGCAAGTGGCACGAAGGAGGAGGACAAATGGAGGGAGAAGACGATTAGTGAATGGGTGGCTAATTTATCATTGGGAGAAGATGAAGAGGCACAACTATATGTGCCGTTGGAGGAGAGGGAGGCGTTTGTCAGGGCACTGGAGTTGATAGAGGATCCCCTGGAACGCTAGGGGACAGAGGATGAGAAGAAGTTGGAGTGGAAGTTGAAGATGATGAGGGAAAAGAAGAGAAGGAGGGCGGAAGCCAGCAGAATAGCCGGGGAGGTTGAGAGAGTGCGAACCGGCAGGAAGGAGCTACAGGCCCAGACAGAGGTCTCTGCCAAATTTGATAAGATGATGGGCTTCCTGAAAGTCTTGAGTGAGGCCTGGCTGGAGGAGCATCAGGCCCGTAAGGGTCAAGAGGTGACCCTGCAAGCAATGCGATCCGGGTTCTGGGAGTTTGCGAGCGACGTGGTGGGCCACGTCGGGTCCGAAATTAGAAGATTGAGGGATGGCGTAGACAAGTTCTGTGTTGGCGACATAGAGACCGCGAAAGTTGTGGCCACAACAGAGGCCACGGCGCGTCCCCGCAAAGAGCCAGTCAAGTTAAAATTCCCTGATCCATATAGCAGGAAAAAGGAGGAGAATTTCGATAACTGGGAGGCCAGTATAAATACATATGTCTTTTTACAGCATATTGCCCCCGAGGAACAAGTCCTCGTTGCCTTCCACGCCCTAAAGGGCGGCTAGCTTCGCCAGGTCCCTCGCACGTGCCGCAGATTGCGAGCACAACATGATCGCATATTTCAGGCTTACACCCCTCGCCACTTTCCTCAAACTCCTGCGCGAGAGGTTTGCTGACGTCACTAGAGGCGTCAGGGCCTCCGATAAGCTCTAAACCATCCATTCACGACAGTGGAGGAGTGCGAGAGCACTAAAACCTGTCATGAACGACTTGGTAGCCGTCCCGGACCACGGGGTCACTTAGACCCAGTTGGTTCAGTTGTTTTATCGTGCCATGCCAGAGCCCTTACGAGGGCACTTCTTTGACAAGACCAGCAGCCCAACATCACATGATGCATTGAGTAGGGAACCACATGTGGTTAACGGGGACCCCCCAGTTTCAGCTCCTGGGTAACAGGTCCAAAACTGAAATGAGGCTTTGGGGGTGAAATTTTATGTCTTTTTTTTTTTTTTTTTTTTTT